GTGCTTTCCTTTAAGGACTCGTTTTCCTTGGGAAACTGGTCTTATACCTTTGTCCACACAGCCCCTGTACAGGGCTCTTGACCTGTGGTAGGTAAAGAACATCACTTTCTGACAGGTCCAAGAGCCCCAAGTTTATCTTGGAACCTCAAGAGGAGAGAATCACCCAACTCATAGGTATTTGACGGCACAAATCCATGGCTGAGCTCAGCTTTAAAAAAAATCTTATCTAAGATTCCTCCTATGAACCCCAAAAATCTGATACAGGTTCCAGAAAATCTGAGACAGGTCTCAGTTTGGTTGGTTTGTTTGTTTATTGATAGAGGGAGTCTTGCTCTGTCACCCAGGCTGGAGTGCAATGGCATGATCTTGGCTCACTGCAACCTCCATCTCCCAGATTCAAGTGATTTTCCTGCCTCAGCCTCCCAAGTACCTGGGACTACAGATGTGCACCAACGTGCCCAGCTAATTTTTGTATTTTTAGTAGAAACAGGGTTTCACTATGTTGGCCAGGCTAGTCTTGAATTCCTGATCTCAGGTGATCCACCTTCCTCAGCCTCCCAAAGTGCTGGGATTACAGGCATGAGCCACCATACCCAGACAGGTCTCAGTTAATTTAGAAAGTTTATTTTGCCAAAGTTGAGGACGTGTGCCTGTGAACATCCTGAGGACGTGAGCCTCAGAACATCCTGACAGCATGTGCCCCAGGTGGTCAGGGCACAGCTTGGTTTTATACATTTTAGAGAGACATGAAACATCAATCAATATACGTAAAAGTTGCTGGGTCTGTCCCACAGGCCCTGGCCAACGGATGAAATGAGTACTCAGACACAGGTGTGCAGTGTGAGAGCAGCTAGGTGACTGGCTCTAGTGGCCAGAGAGCAGCCCAGGGAAGTTGGAGCTGCTTGCTTTTATTCAGTGCAGGCACAATACCAAAAACCTGGCGCAAACACAACCTGTAGGTAATTAACATTTATTGTTCCCCTTTCAGGGAAAGTCACCCACTGGGATGATCAAAAGTCATCAGTTTCTGGTTAATACAAGTTAACAAGCCTGTTTAAGATAAATTCCCCGGCCGGGCGCGGTGGCTCAAGCCTGTAATCCCAGCACTTTGGGAGGCCGAGGCGGGTGGATCACGAGGTTGAGAGATTGAGACCATCCTGGTCAACCTGGTGAAACCCCGTCTCTACTAAAAATACAAAAAATTAGCTGGGCATGGTGGCACGTGCCTGTAATCCCAGCTACTCAGGAGGCTGAGGCAGGAGAATTGCCTGAACCCAGGAGGCGGAGGTTGCGGTAAGCCGAGATCGCGCCATTGCACTCCAGCCTGGGTAACAAGAGCGAAACTCCATCTCAAAAAAAAAAAAAGATAAATTCCCCTACACTACCTTCTATCCACTCCTTACCCTCTGCCTTAGGGTCATAGAACAGCTGCCTTTATCTATTCTCCTGGGGTTCTGAAAAAACCCTCCAACCTTTCAGAAGATTTGTGCCCTTTCCCTATAGTTTCTCTTGCCACTCTGACTGATCCCCCACAAGAAATACATTGGTTCAGTCTGGAAAGGCAGGACAACTTGAAACAAAAGCAAGAAGACTCAAAGCCAGGAGGGAGCTCCAAGGACACAGATAGGTGATACACAAATGGTTACATGCTTTTGAGTTTCTGATTATCCTTTCCAAAGACGAATCTATCTCAGTAAGCAGAGGAGTGACTTTGATTAGACTGGGAGGCAGGTTTGCTCTAAGCAATTTCCAGCTTGAAGTTTCCTTAGTGATTTTTAGGGGCCCGAGATATTTTCCTTTCACACTCCTGTGGAATAACATTCCATAAAAGCACATTTAAAAGCTTTTATAGGCCAGGTGCAGTGGCTCATGCCTATAATCCCAGCACTTTGGGAGGCCAAGGCAAGGGGATCACAAGGTCAAAACATCGAGACCATCCTGGCCAACACTGTGAAACCCCTCTACTAAAAATACAAAAATTAGCTAGGCATGGTGGCACACGCCTGTAGTCCCAGCTACTCTGGAGGCTAAAGCAAGAGAATCGCTTGAACCCAGGAGGCGGAGGTTGCAGTGAGATGGCGCCACTGCACTCCAGCCTGGCAACAGAGCAAGACTCTGTCTCAAAAAAAAAAAAAAAAAGCCTATGTAAACAATAATTATTCTTGCTGTACTGTTTACAAATAATTAGGCCAAGTATAATGTGGGAAGTAGAAAAGTTTATTTTTAAAGTTTCCTTTCTTGTTAAAGAGTAAGTGCGCTGATAACTTTGTTAAGCCCTATCCTATGTAGCTGATGCTGTGCTTACAGGCACGTAGAACATTCTATGTCCTTGCACTTTAACCAAAATATCTGCGCTGGATGTGCTCACAGGCATGTCCCAGCTCTCCATTGCTTTTACCTGTTTAAAAAAGTTTTAAGTTGTTAGTTTAGACTCTTAAGTCTGGCTCCAGCCAACAGAAATAAGACACAGCAGTAAGGACAACCTCAAATGCATAAGGGATAAACTTAGGCATTTTCCTTTTTTCTTTGTACTCTTGTGGCAAGATGGCTAGTGAGGGTACCCTTCCTGAAGCCCAGGAAGTAAAAATTGCATTGCTGAAAGATCCTTTGTCTCAGTGCTAATTTTTCTTTGCAGCACTGAGTATCTATTTCCAACATCTATTTCCAACAAGTAATAAAGCAACTAGTCCTACCATGATTTGTCTTTAACAAAAATAGGAAATTGGAGAGAGAAAAATTGTGTTGCAAAAGCTATAGTATACCTAGTGTTAGATTTTAGTCTTGCCTAATGTTTTTCAATTTATATTATTTTCTACAGTTTGGACCAAATTCTAATTTTTCTTGGCTACAAGTCTCCAAAATAATGTTTTCAATTTTTTTTCTTTTTTTCCCATTTTTCCTAATGTAGAATCATGGAAAACTAAGCTGTGCATTCCTAAAGTTCTGCAAACAAAAGCTAGACAAAATAAACTTCAGAAGAAAAATAACAGCAACCTATTTAAATACATAAGCAAGTTTCATGCCATTTACTTATGTATGGACTTCAGAGTAATGTGGTTTGTATCGGTTTTTCCAGGATTCTTCTTCTGATTGTTGTTTTTTCTCTCTTCTTCCTCACTATTTTCTCTTCATAGGATGTGAGACCTCACAACCTGCTAAAAATGAACTTTGAGGACCTACACGTCTAGGAATAAATCACCCTAGCCACGAGAGATCAGATGAAACCTGAGACCAGAGATTCATTTTAGTCTAAAATGCTTTCTCCAAAAGATTTTTTTAAAGGGGAAAATGTGAAAGGAAAATATTTTGGGGTCCCCAAAATCAATAAGGTAAAAAGAAAATTGAAATTGGAAACTACTCAGGGCAAACCTGCCTCCCATTCTACTCAGTCATCCCTCTGTTCACTAAGATAGATGCCGATTCTGATTGCCTCCTTCAGAAAGACTTATCAGAAACTCAGAAAAATGCACCACTTGTCTCTCAACTACCTGCGACTTGGAAGCCACCCACCTGCTTCAAGTTGTCTAGCCTTTCTGGATGAAATCAATACAGTTTTTACATATATTGGCAAGCCATAGCTTTTACATATATTTACAAACCAAGCTGTGTCCCAACCACCTTGGGCACATGTCATCAGGACATTTTTTTTGAGGCAGGATCTCACTGTTGCCCAGGCTGGAGCACAGTGGTATGATCCTGGCTTACAGCAGCCTTTACCTCCTGGAGCCAAGGGATCCTCCCACCTCAGCCTTCTGAGTAACTGGGCAAGCACCACCATACCCAGCTAATTTTTGTATTTTTTTGTAGAGATGGGGTTTTGCCACATGGCCCAGGCTGGTCTCAAACTCCTGAACTCAAGCAATCTACCGGTGTGGGCTTCCCAAAGTGCTAGGGTTTATTACAGGAGGGAGCCACTGTGCCTGGCAAATTAGTCATTTACTCCTTAATGACCTTTAACATTACACCTACTGCTCCCTTTTTAACTGTAGGAAGTGATGATCTGGACAATAGCCCCACAAGACTCCTCAAAATCTCCCTGTCTGGGCTACGTCTCAAGGTTGGGCCTTACTAAGGCCCAACTCCACTATCCAGCCACTGAGGAACCTGCTCATCAGATGGTTATCCAATGAATCCTGCTCCTTTGCATATGACTTAATATAAAACACTCACACCACCTGCTGATCGCACACATTGTTACCATGTGGCCCCAAAATCAGGCTTCCCCATCTCAGGTCAAGCTATTCAAAGGAAAGCTAGCAGCTATTAAATGCTGAAGTTACGGAGAGCTACTGGCTTATTCTCTAAGACCTGTATATGTAAAATCTTCTGAATGTGATCCTGTATTTTCTCTGGTTAAGACAACTATATCCAAAGCCCTAAATCCCAATAATGATCTGTACAGGTTGGCAGACTCTTCCCTGGAGAGAATTATTGAAAATTTCCACATTTATTAAACATTTACTATATTTCAGGAACTGTGATTGATACTACTAGAGGTAAAAAGTTAAATAAGATATAGCTTCTCTCTTCAATAAATGTATGACTCAGTTTGGGTGAAAAGTAAGTACCACAGTTACAATACAGTGGGATTTGTTATTATTGACAAGTGTCATGATGAAGGCTATCTAGATCAGGGAAGGCTATCAGGACAGGGTGAAAGAAGGCAGTCCACCTGGGAGCTGCTCAGCCCCCTTACCCATCAGCCTGGCTCCTCCTCGAACCATGCCAATTCTAGATGGCCTACAGGAGGCTGAATGAGTGAGGAACTTAGCCCAGAGGAGTATGTTTCTGTAGTTATCCCTACAGTGAGGATGTGGCTAGGGGGCAGAAATGACCAAGGAAACTTGTAAACCTGAGGGACCATCACCCCCAACACACGCACACACATGCACACACACCCATCCACTAAGCTCTGGCTGTGGACAACAGAAGACAAAAAACACACACAATTCAAACGCAGTCCTGAGTCCAGGGAGACTCGGGGAATAAGACAAGACAAATCAGGCATGGTTAAGGCTTTATTGGACATCACACAGGGCTGGGGTACAGAGACCCAGCAAAGGGAGCAGGGCCTGTAGATGGTCATTGAGGACAGTGCTGGGGAGCTCAGGGATCAGTCTGGCTTCTCAAAGAAGAGACAAGCACTGATAGGAAAGGCAGTCAGGTTGGCGTTAGTGCAGGCAAAGGGAGATGTTAGGAGGGGAACTTTGGTGGAGGAGAGTGGGGAGCTGAAGCTTTAAAGAGTCTCAATGCGGGGAGGGCTCACGTTAGAAGAAAGGAAGACAGTGAAACCTTGGGGAACAGAAGACAGTAGAAAGAAGGAAAAAGGAAGAAGTCTGGTCCTGGGAGTCAGGCTGTTCTCCAGCGTTCTGCCCAGGCGGCAGGAGCTCTTCCCTCCCATCTTCTGGCAACCCAGGGCCTTATTTGCTGTTCCATGTAGCTGCCTTTCCAAACAAAAGACCTGGGACGAATCTGCTGGACTTCATGTAGGCAGAGATCTTCTTCAAACCCTGAGAGCGGGAAGAAGGGGCCAGAGCGCGGTCTGCTGTCTAGGAGGGCCGGAGCAGCCCTGTGGCAGGCACAGCAGGTCAGGTCCAGCCACAGCATTTCCACGTGAGTCAAATGCTGGAGCACCACACAGGCTCCTAGGGACCCCACCTCGTCTAATTAACTCTTCCAATCTCCTTAAACTAATGTCATACCATAATAACGCCTACCACTTACGAAGGTTCTACACTGTTCTGGGTGCTCTATACCCAAGAGAAATTACAACACAAGCTTAGAACATCCACAACTACTCTCCAAGGTCAGTTCTATTATCACCATTTCTCAAGGGGGAAACAGAAGTTCAGCAACTTCCTCACACTCAAATAAGTGGGATGGGGCTGGAATACAGTCTGGTTCTGTCTTCAGTTCTAACATGTTTTTGCCAAATTCTGCTCCTCTTCCACCCGGGCACACCCCACGCCAGATCCTGTCACTCCTTGTCTGCACAAACATTCTCCTTTTTCACAGTGAGGTTCTTGGCTTGCCCAAGACCGCACACACAGAAAGTACCTGCAGCAGAACAAAGGGGCTCAGAACACACCTGTGCAGCCAGGAAGAGAGCGCACATCTCACCCAGTGACTTAGCAAAACCTGAATGAAGCTAGACAGGACAAGGGTAAACCAGCAAAAGAAAGGCCAGACCAGGCTCTAATCATTCCCCTTAAAGCATAGTGCAAACTTTTCCACTTGGTACCTGAGCTAAATCTCCCTGTGTCCCTGTCTCCAGACCTGCTACTGCAAGCCAGGCTGCATGACACTCAGGTGTGCTGCACACAATCTTATGAGGATTAAATGACCACGTAACTTCTAAATAATTCAAAAAGATCCAAGGCTCCCTCCTCCCAAAGGGCTAGGGCCTGGGCCTGTCGGGTCAAGGCCCCAGCCCTCGGCTGTCCCTGACCCTTGCCCTCCCACCACCCCTTACATAACCCCAAGGCTGCTCAGTCTGGACCAGAACCAGAGCTGATGGGAACTAGCTGAGCAAGCAGTTCTCTTGACCGGAAATGGGAAAGGGAAATAGACTCTAGGCTCAGAAACCCGTTGGACTAATGCCTCAAATTCCCAAATCTGTACTAAAAGTAGAATTTGCTGCTCTCAAACAAGTTTGGCATGGGTGAGGGATGGTTCCTGAGAGGGAGGGGCAGGCCCCAGGCTGGGTACCTATTTTAGAAATAAAGACACCCAGAATGAAAGGGTCAGTCCTTTGCTCAGAGTCCGAGAGCCAGGAGGCTGTTCTGGGCTCTCTGTAAGCCTCTGGATCTATGGGTGGCAGTCACGGCTCTTCCTTCTGTGAGAAAAGAAAAACCCTCAGGCCTCATCCAGCCTGGGTTTCACAGCCCAGGACACTCTGGAAGGGGCAGAGCTCTTCAGGAGCGTGGATGCAGCTGGCAATAGTAGGACTGACACACAGTAGCATCGATGTTGAGTACTAAACCCACAGGCAGCATTCATAGCTACCCCCAGAAGCTTTGCACGAACTGAACCCCATGCAGGGAATCCTGAGAGCCAGGGCTGTGGCTGTAGCTGGATGAGGTACATATGTGGGTGCCCCTGTTGAAGGAATTTATGTTGAAGTGCTCTGCGCTGGGGCGCTCTCCTTCCCTACCTCTCTTCCTCTCCTTTTTCTCTCAGTGTTCCAAGTGTCCCCCTGTGAGATGGGGAGCACACTGATTTTAACTCCTATTCACCGACCTTCTCCTCTCATGAGGCAGGATGAGAGGCACAGTGGGAGAGGCATAGATGACTTCCCCATCCTGGAAGAGAGAGCAGTGAGAGGCCTGCAGGCAGAGCAGCCTGTGAGGTGTGTGTGGCACCACCTGAGTACGGGGGGCCTGCCCCTCACTCGCGGGGAACCATCTCTCACCCGTGCTGATCTTGTTTGAGATCAGCATATCCTACTTTAGTACAGATTTGGGAATTTGAGGCCAGAGCAGGCTCTAATCATTCCTTTTAAAGCAGAAAGTCCAAACCTCCCCACCTGATACCTGAGCTAAATACCACTGTGCCCCAACCCACCTCATCTTCAACCTCACTACCACGGGCCAGGCTGCAAGACACTCAGGTGTATTCTGCATGATCTTCGCAAGACTGAATGACCATGTAATTTCTAAGGATTCTAAGAGATCCAGGGCTGCCTGTTCCCAAAAGGCTAAGCCCAGGTGAACCGTATGCTGCAGCCCTTGGCTCTCCTCCCCTCCCACCACCTCTTATGTAACCCCAGAGCCACTCAGCCTGGACCAGAGCCAGAGCTGATGAGAACTAGCTGAGTAACTGGATCTCTTGATGACGAGTGGGAAAAGAAAACAGATTCTAGGCTGAAAAACCCGTTAGACTAATGCCTCAAATTCCCAAATCTGTACTAAAGTAGGATTTGCTGATCTCAAACAAGATCAGCACGGGTGAGAGATGGTTCCCCGTGAGTGAGGGGCAGCAGGTCCCCCCGTACTCAGGTGGTGCCACACACACCTCACAGGCTGCTCTGCCTGCAGGCCTCTCACTGCTCTCACTTCCAGGATGGGGAAGTCATCTATGCCTCTCCCACTGTGCCTCTCACCCTGCCTCATGCAGAGGAGGTCAGTGAATAGGAGTTAAAATCAGTGTGCTCCCCATCTCACAGGGGGACACTTGGAACACTGGAGGGAAAAAGGAGAGGAAGAGAGGTAGGGAAGGAGAGCGCCCCAGCACAGAGCACTTCAACATAAATTCCTTCAACAGGGGCACCCACATACGTACCTCACCCAGCTACAGCCACAGCCCTGGCTCTCAGGATTCCCCACATGGGGGTCAATTCGTGCAAAGCTTCTGGGGGTAGCTATGAATGCTGTCTGTGGGTTTAGTACTCAACATCGATGCTACCGTGTGTCAGTCCTATTATTGCCAGCTGCATCCACGCTCCTGAAGAGCTCTGCCCCTTCCAGAGTGTCCTGGGCTGTGAAACCCAGGCTGGATGAGGCCTGAGGCTTTTTCTTTTCTCACAAAAAGGAGAGCCCTGACTGCCGCCCACAGATCCAGAGGCGCACAGGGAGCCCAGCACAGCCTCCTGGCTCTGGAACGCTGAGCAAAAGACTGACCCTCTCACTCTCAGTTTCTTTATCTCTAAAATGGGTGAGATAATTCTGTCACCCTGTAGGAATGGTGTAAAGTTCAACTTCGACACCATAGGTATAATGTGCTGGTCACGGTTCGTGGCATGAACCCAGCACTCAACAAATGCGAGTTATTCTCTGTGTAGCTCCAGGACTAGGAAAGCATCTCAAAGGAGAGAAAGGAACAAGGGGCATCAGAGAGAAAGGAGGACAGGGGCATCACCTCAAATCGGGACATGAAGTCCTTCAGGTTTGGGAAGGCGTCCAGGCAACCAGGCTCAAATATACGCTGTTGGTCAAGGACGTCATAGGCGAGGAAGTCCACAAAGGTGATCTGCAGAAGGCCAAGAATGTGTGTGCTGGAACCTCCATAACACATGAAGTAAAAGAAATCTCACTCCCCACTGCACTCCTCAGGTACCTTGTCTCCAGCAAACCATGGCCGCTTCCCCAGAAACTGTGAGTAGAGCTTTAACTTTTCAGGAAGTTCCTCCAAGTACTTTGGCTTCACTTTCTCCTGAAGAAGAAAACAGCTGTCACCACCCTCAGACACAAGTTCCCTGCACAGACATGGCCTCCCCAGGGCTGTGTGTGGCCCCAGTTGGCCACAGGCAAGCAGCTATCTTCCCCACAACTGGAACTGGGTCAGTGCCCAGGCTTCAGTTGCATACATCAGCATTTATTAGATTCCAATTGGGTGCCAGAACCTATCTGAAGTGAGGGGAAGGCAGAGACGAATGTGACAGTCCTTGGATCTGTCCTCACTGACCTCCCAACAAATAGCCTCTGGGCAGCCTCAGGAGCCCCCGAGGACCTGGCAGCCTCTGGACCCAGATACCTGCAGTATCCAGGATGCAAAGGACTAAAGGGGCTCAGGGTAAGAAGAAAGTTCCTCCTAATGGGGAGGCAGAAGAATACAATGGACATTGAATAGTTTCCGGAGACATGAAAAGTTCAGGTTGAAAGGAAGGAGGGAGAGGAATGAAGACCCTCTGGCTACCTCTGAGCTGTCTGTTGTGAAAATGCGCAGATCCCCATGCGTGTCAGAGAAGACGCAATTCGAGGGTGCCATTACATTCCTGTCTTGTAGTTGACTCTACATACTCTAGGAGCGGGTAGGTGATGTGAACCAGCTGAGAGAAATGACCCATAACACAGGCCAGAGGCCATGAAGAAGATGCTGAACACAAACTTTACCATCTAGGAATTGAGTTCCTACCCTAGGGTATCTGGATTGTGTCCTAAGATCGGTGGGAATTGCCTCTGCGTCTGGCGACATGTGAGAGTAACTGCTAATAGTACGGGAAACCACTTGGAGGATCAGTGGTACTCAAGGAATTAAAACAAGAAAAGACCAGTGTGTGTAGGAATGCAGGAGTCCTGGCCCCAATCCTCACAAATTCTGGGTTGTAGCAGATCATGGCCAGCTGCATCCGGGTGTCCATAGCCTGGTTCTCCAAAATGTCCACACGAATCTTCTCCTCTTCTGTCTCCCCACCTGACACCCACAAAACACAGACTCGCTGTCAGCATCTCACCCCAGACAAGCCCAGGAGGAGGCCACCGTCCCCCCACACCCTGCAGCCTCCCGCACTCACACAGGTTGTGCTTGCGGGCAATGTAGCGCAGGATGGCGTTGCTCTGGGTGATCCTGTGAGCCCCATCAATCAAGTAGGGCAGCTGGAGGGATGGGAAACCAGGGAAGCTCAGTTGGGCCAGCAGCCTGCCCAGCATCGCCTTCCCATAAGCAAGGGCAGACAGGAGACCGGGCACTCACTGTGCCTGCTCATGGCAGGCCGAGATACTGTCACATGGACGAATGAGCTGGGACACAGAACGTCATGCAAGGCTGTGCAGACAGCCAGGAATGAGAGGAACTGGGCAGAAGGCTCCTGACCCTAACACCTCTAAGCTGGGGAGAGGAGACGCAGTCAGAGACACGCTGCACTTTCCCCCAAAACCGCCCCTTCCCCTGCACCTACATTGGGAAAGTCCAGGCCCAGCTTGAACTTTTCCTTCAGCCACTGGCTTCTGTCATAGTCAGGAGCTGCGGCGGGAAGATGAAGTGAAAACAAACCTCCCCGGAGCCCAGCCCACCTTCCCCGCGGCCCTCCCAAGGGGCCAGTGGCAAGACCCCTGAGACAGGTGGATCTAGAATCTGACCACTCAGTCCCACGTCCCAGGGTTCAGGGAGAAAGAATCCGGGTGAGGGCTCTGGACCCCACACGACTAAGGCTTCCAGGCTGTAGGCAAGCCCTGAGGGACCCCCAACCCAGTTACCCAGACAGGGGGCCCGGGGACCCACAACCCAGTTACCCAGACAGGGAGCCCGGCTTCCCGCCCCAGCATCCCACCCTAGCATCCAGCCCTGCAAAGCCAGAGGGCTCCCTCACCCGGGCTCAGGGAAGGGGCAGGTTGCAGCTCCAGCAGGGGAGGCCTGCAGGGGCAGCCACAGGTGGCCACCGTGGGTTGCTCGGCGCCAACTCAGGGTGAGTGGGCAGGGCCGGGACAAGAGGGCGCCCTTACCGTCCCCCATCGTGTATTTCTTTTCCTCGTAGCTTGAGTCTGTGTATTCCAGGAGCAGGCGGATGGCGTGGGCCAGCTGGGAGAGATGGCCCGCCGCTCGGGTCAGAGATGGAGTGTCCCTGACTTGGTGACCTTCTCTGCACCAGGGGAGCCCCCAGGCTACACTGCACGCACCCGCCGCCTCCTCTACCCGCCACCACCCCCAAACACACACACTGCGCCAGGCGCAGGCCCTTCTGAGGGGCGCAGTGCCTGAGGAGGAACTGTCCCCAGAGCCGGTCCCGCAGCTCTCCGCACTTCCCTCCCCCGCGCCCTCGTCCCGCCGCCCAGCGGACCCTCGCTCACCCCGCGGAGGTCCCAGTACCCCAGTGTCATGGGCATGGTGCTGGTTTGTGCGGGATCCGCAAACAGGCCTCAAGCGGCGCCGGAGTCAGACCTTTAGTCCGGAGAAAGGAGAGGAAGGGCCTTGCTGCGACCCCGCCCCTCAGCCCGCCCCGCCCCCAAACGCGCCCTGCTGCAGGCCCCGGCTCAGTAAGGGCCCCTCCCGCCTGCCCGCCCCAAGGGTCCCGGGAGCAAGGTCAGAGCACCCCAGGAAATGGGCCAGAGGAAAGGAAATGTGGTCTGTGTGTGCTTTTAGGGGCCCTTGGGTACTGAGTCCTTGGGTCATCTGAACAAGTACTGTGTAAATTCGCCATTTCGTATTTTGGCACAATTTATGAATCTGAATCCAAGGATCAGACCCATCAAGGAAGTGAGGTATCCGAGGTGCCCCCTAGAAATGTCCAGCCGTCTAGGTGAGCCTCACATAGACCGCACAGCCTAACAGTGAGTGCAGTGGCCACGGAGGAAGGAGGGAGGCTGAAGGACCAAACTGAGGGTCGAGCTGCTGTTTCTCTCGGCCCAATAACGAGATGCAGATGAGCTGGGGGGAAAGAGTTTTTATTTCTGCAACCGGTTATAGGGAGAAGGCCTGGAAATTACCACCAGACCAACTCAGAATTACAAAGTTATCTACCTTCTAAGCTATATGTCTACATGTAAGTGTGCATACATCTAAAGACATAAGTGGTTAACTTCTAATCTATCACTAAGGTCTGAGTCCTGAAGACCTTCCTCTGGAGCCTCCCTCTATTTACTTAGTCTAAGTGGGTCCAGGTGCCGGGATGATTAACTTTATCTTGTCTCCTGCTAAATCACAAAGGTTTGGGGAGTTCCTTCAGAACCCCAATAAACTTGTTTGTGGAGGCCTGGGGAGTTTCTTCAAACCCACGATAAAATTTGTTTAATCCTAAATGTGTCAATAATTTCTTCATTATTTTGTCGTGCTTTAAGGCCCAGAAAAGGCCTAGGCAAACTCTTGGTGACCTTTGTTACATTCCAGCCTTTGTATAAAGGCCTGGCTTTTTTTTTTTTTTTTTTTTTTTTTTTTTAAGCTTTTAATGTTTAATCACTCAGTACTGAAACAGTTGTTATGAAAGCCTGTGTTCGTGAGATCTAGCCTGCCATAGAACCTGTCCTCAGAGAGGGCAGAACCCTGTCCTGCTGAGGAGGGAGGTCAGGATGGTGGCCAGAGAGGAGCCTGAGGACTCCCCACAGGACCACAGGCAGGGTGGGGACCCTCCCCTCTCCAGAGCCACCATTCTGGACCTGGACCTGGCTCCTGACCCATGTGCGTTCTTCAGTATGAGAGGGTGGCTCCAGTGGCCTTTGAAGTCACGCTGTGATATGTGACCCATGGTACAACCGCCACAAGGACAATGTCCAACCTGCCAACTTTCTTCTTTCAAGGTAGAAAGAAAACTATTTCAAGAGTTGTGCAGTGAAGTGACTTGGGGTTGATTTTGCTTTGTTTAAAGGATATTATAAATAATAATGGATATATGAAAACAGATGGCAGACCTTTAAGGAGAAATCATTTTACAATGTAAAGGACAATGTTATTGCATTGCAAAGGTAATTTTTTTTTTTTTTTTTTTTTTGAAATTAGCTAAAACATTGTTAGGACTGCAGAGGATGAACCCAGTACACCCAAAAAAGTTTCAAACCACATAGAAAATGTGTGGATTGGGATTGAGGAGCACAGGAAGACTTCACCACATCCCTATGAGGCCACAGAAGTCAGGTGGTCAGCAGGTGTCTGCTAAGTTGGGGCACTTGGACACTGTGTCACTGAGGCTGGGAAGGCACAGTCCTTGCTGCAAACACTCCCTACCCATCCAGACCTGGGCAGTATTTCCAGCTCAGATACCTCTAGGTATCCATGTTTAGAAAGCAGTTTTGGCCTCAAAGTGAATTCCTATGTAGATTTTCCTGCAGTGAGGCAGTAGCAGCAGCACAGATGCAAGTGCCTGGCCCTGGGAATCATTATATTTCTCATTATACATTAAGAGTTTATGATTCTGGCTGGGTGCGGTGGCTCACGCCTGTAATCCCAACACTTTGGGAGGCCGAGGCGGGTGGATCACGAGGTCAAGAGATTGAGACCATCCTGGTCAACATGGTGAAACTCTGTCTCTACTAAAAATACAAAAAAATTAGCTGGGCGTGGTGGCGCGTGCCTGTAATCCCAGCTACTCAGGAGGCTGAGGCGGGAGAATTGCCTGAACCCAGGGCACAGAGGTTGCAGTGAGCCGAGATCGTGCCATTGCACTCCAGCCTGGGTAACAAGAGCGAAACTCCTTCTCAAAAAAAAAAGAGTTTATGATTCTGAGTTTATCCATCTTGAGCTGTGAAAGATAAAATGTCTAGATCCAATTGAAAAAAAAAAAATTTGCAGGTGGGGATAGAGTTTCACCATGTTGGTCAGTCTGGTCACAAACTCCTGACCTCAGGTGATCCACCTGCTTCGGCCTCCCAAAGAGCTGGGATTATAGGCATGAGACACTGCACCCAGCCAGAAAATAAAATGATTTTTTAAGAAAGCTAACACTCATGAGAATAATAATGCTGAAAGGTGTAGAGCTGGTACTGTTACATTAGTATTCAGGTATTTAGTCATTTCTTTATTGAAACAACAGTTGTTGAGATCCTACCACATTTCAGGCACTATGACTAAAACTAGGGACACTGTACTTTGCCCATCTCCCACTGTACTTTGCTATATATCAGGTGGGAACTTCAAGGGAGAGATTTCGAAAATGTGGGTCACATCTTTGCGTTTTTGCACACTGAAAGGCGGTGGAGTGGGAGAGGGGTTGAATGCAGCAGAGGAAAGCAGTGCCTGCTGTTGCAAGGACCCTGAGGAACCAGGAAGACGGGGCTCAGGCCCTTCAGAAGGGGGAGAACAGCTCTGCAGAAGGCGGGAAGGATGGACCAGCAGGCTGTCCAAAGCGGGGGCCACACCGGCAGAGGGAGTGGGTCTGTGGACCGGGATTGGGAGTGGCGGGGATGAGAGAAGCTGGAAGTCTTCTGAAGGGAGAGGCTGTAGCAAGTTGTTACCACACAGAAACTCAGTCCCAATAGGGCCAGGTCTTCTGGGTTTATATGTGCTGTCCGAACTGCCAATGTGGACTAGTTCTAATTCTTAAAACAACACTGTGCCAGACAATCAAAATGCACTGGGTCCCATTTGACCAAGGCCCTGTAATGGGACCTCTGGACTGGATTTCATAATTCCTTTTGTCTCTTCTGCCAACATTCTTACATTCTCAAGGCAAATTAACAGAAACTCTACGTAAAATATTGTCAAAATTTAAAAAACCAATCTATTAGAAACGAATACAGACAAAATAAAATGCATCCTACTTCGTGGAAATTTTTTAAAAGTTCTCTTAAATACTGTTTGGATAAACTTAGGGAATCCAAATATAAAGAATCCGTTCTTCAATCTGAAAAGAAGAAAATAAAAATCATCATTTGCAAGGTGCTACCAAATTTGAATTGAGAAAAATGGGCAGCCTGGTCTTCCAGGGCACAGGGTAGGTAGTGGTGGGACTGTCTCTGCCAGTCCAACTTGCCTGTATACCCAAGAATAAGGCAAACAAACTAGAATTTCAAGAAAGTAGCACAGGAACAAAATTGGAGATGGAGAAGTGGAAGCAGTATCTTCAATATTTTACCTTAAGAAAACTTTAACCAATTTGCTTGTTATATGAAATAGTCTATTCTCTTAAAAGTTAGCTAATTACTATGGGAGGCTGAGGTGGGTGGATCACCTGAGGTCAGGAGTTCAAGACCAGCCTGGCCATCATGGTGAAACCCCATCTTAAAAAAAAAAAAAAAGAAAAAAAAATTTATTTCAAAAAAAAAAAAAGGTAGCGCTAATTAACAGAGCATTAGTACAACAAAACCAAAAAACAAAATGACAAGTTAATACAAATCAAATCAGAACTAAGAAAGAAGATGTAGTACAAATAATTTTTTTAATTGGGGAAACATTTTTTCTAAACTATGCATTAATTAACGTTACCACCAAGTGGAATAAACACAAACAGGCCAAACAAAACATGTTAAAAGATAAAGATTCTGAATGATGTCATCCAAGTGTGATATAGAAAAATAATACAAAAGGGCATTTGATCCTCAGGATTTGGTTGGATATGTTTTCTAAACTTTTGAAGATGTCATGGATGACACAGATTATCCTAAACTACAGACATGACCTAACATGGGAGGGACAACACAAGCAAGGATGATTATAAATCACTCTCACTTACCAGCCTGAATCCAAAAGTCAGGAATGCCAGCTCAGAGGAAAGAAAATGGTGTTTTTCTTATAATTGGTGTTCTGCTCACAGAGAGCTTGCTAGGGGAGAGAAAGAGACAGAAAGGCTGGGGCAGGAGAAGGAGGGGCAGAGGAGACTCTTCGGGGCAGAAAGCCCATGTGGAAATGTTAGTATCTGGGGTATAATCAGAGTCATTTCTACTCTTTCTACAAATTCCTCAAACTCTGACACTAAATCAAAATAAAAGGTAAAAAAAAAAATTACATATACATAAACTCACATCATTAATAAATATTAATACTTATTGACTTAAATGAATGTTCCATCCAAAAGGACTTAACCTTCACTGCATGAGTTACATTATAATTTTTTTATTCTTTTTTTTTTTTAATGGTAGTATCCACCCAGTGCACCACCAGTCTTCACGTGAAGGTGATTTCGCCCCTCAGGGGACATGTAGCTTTGTCTGGAGACTTTGTTCATTGTAAACATTAGGAAGGTGCCCACGGCATCTGGTGGGTAAAGGCTGGGTGGGATGCTGAGCACCCTGCGATGCTCAGGACAGCACCCTACAACAAAGAATTCTGCCCTCCAAATCTCCGCATGGCTGAGGTTAAGAAATGCCACTCTGCAATCCAGCACTTCGTCAAAAGCTGCAGCGGGAGAAGCAAGGTCGTCGAAATTCTGGCTGGCAGGAAAGAGGTCACAGGACCCACTTCCCTGGACACCAGCTGGCAGAAGGGAGGCCCTAGAGACTGTCTGAGCTGGGGCAGTCCCTGCAGGCATCAAGCTACAGATCA